CTGTTTCCTTATAAAAGTCCCAAAATTTGTCAAGTTTTTCGTCAGGTGTCTTCTTTAATTATATGTCATTACGTTGCCGTCTTGCCGCCAGCTAATCGCTGCATTGCTGATCGTGGTTTCGAGTATCGATACATAGCCCCTTTTAAACCAACCCATGCACGCGCAATTATCTCAGATAACTCAATTAGTGATGGAAGTTCGGATCATTTTACCGACTCGGACCTTTGAGTCTCGTTCAGCAAAATGAACGAGAGCTGTGCGAAGTACCTTCATGCTTCAAACGCTTTACCATCATCCCCATCCCAAAGAAATCCTTAATGACTTAATGACTACAGGCCTGTGGCTGTAACGTCTGTGGTCATGAAGTCTTTTGAAAAACTGGTGCTGGCTGAAGGACACCTGAAGGACATCACTGGACCCTTGCTGGATCCTCTTCAGTTTGCCTACAGAGCAAACAGGTCTGTGGACGATGCAGTAAACATGGGACTGCATTATGTTCTGCAACATCTGGACAGACCAGGGACTTATGTGAGGGACACTCACATTGACTCCATTGTGAAAAAGGCCCAGCAGAGGTTGTATTTCCTTCGCCAGCTGAGGAAGTTCAACCTGTCACAGGAGCTGCTGAAACAGTTCTACTCCGCCATCATTGAATCCATCGTCTGCACTTCTATAACTGTCTGGTTCAGCTCAGCTACCAAATCTGACCTCAGAAGACTACAGAGGGTAGTCCGGACTGCTGAGCGAATCATTGGTACAACCCTCCCTTCTCTCCAAGAACTGTACTCATCCAGAGTGAGCAAAAGGGCTGGCAGAATCACTCTGGACCCCTCACATCCAGCACACTCCCTCTTTGAACTGTTGCCATCTGGTCGACGCTACAGAGCTCTGAGCACCAGAACGGCCAGACACAGGAACGGTTTCTTCCCTCAGGCCATCCATCTCATTAACACTTGACAATAACTGTGGCAATAACACACACTATTTATTCACTCATACACTTATTTATCTAACACACATACTCAGTCTACATTTCAATTTGCACATAATATTCCTGTACATACAACTGTCTATTGTTCTATACCTGTATATACAATTGTCGATTTGTATATTTTTTATTCCTTATTTTACTTGTTCTATTTTTTATTTATTTTTATTATCTGTGTTTTTTTGTTCTGTCACTGTCATTCTGTTACACTGTGGAAGCTTCTGTCACGAAAACAAATTCCTCGTATGTGTAAACATACCTGGCAATAAAGCTCATTCTGATTCTGATTCTGATTCTGAACGAATCAATCCCCGAGACGACTCGTTCTTCCCGAGTCACATTAAAGATTCATTCAAAATTAACGAATCGTTCAAGAACGACCCAACACTCAACTCAATCCAGCCATACTAATCATCAATCACAGGTGCATTCGAAGAACCGAATTAGCCAGATCCTGATTGGCGCGATGATATCATCTTAGATGGGACATTTCATCTCGGATGTAATAAGCGACGTACGAAGAATGGGCCCCGGGACAGCCATTTACTATCCCAAGCAATCAGACATAAAAAAATAAACACGTAAAAATGTTAAAATATGATCCTATATTACTGTATTGAGGCAGGTCTACTGTTTAGACTTACCCTCTGTCCTCTGGTCCAGATCTTGCATCAGCTGGAAGTTCCTCTGCAGTTCAAAGGGCAGATTCTCTATGCCTAAAGAGATAAGAGTGACATAAATCATCTATACTATTATCAAGGCCATAAACAGACTCATAAGGCTGTGCGCATTTGAAAACGAGCACTACAGTAAACAATTTCCATCTGTACGAGCGCAAGCTAGCTCGACTTTATTGAAACATTACGCTTTAATATCGCCAGGTAAGTTATTCATTTAAAATATGTAATTATTGTAAGTATTAATACTTAAGTATTAGTGTTACATTCTGTCACGTTTACCGGTACCGCACCCACCAAACAAAAATACAAAGCCATCGTTCACTTCATAACACTGTTTACATTTACAGTTAGCCCGTTAGCTTCAGAGCCCAATGGTCGTACTGACGTTTTTATTAGCGCTGTTTTGTGTCGTTCCGCGATCGTTTTATTGTAATTCGTGTGTGCATGTGAAACGTGCAGACATGCCGGACAATTTGAACGCGGAAGACGTTTGTTAATGGGGATGGATATCGAAACAAAGACAATAGCCTTACTGTCCAAATAGTGCTCTAGATACATTCCAGCCGCCATTTTGACAAACACAAACAAAGGTTCTTCCGGTTTGCCGGAAGTCCTGGGGTGGCTATGAGGGGGAGGGGTCATGAGTGGGGGGGTGTCCGTTGACCTCTTTCATGTCCTCCTTGTATACTTTGAAAGTGTTGAAACAGAATGATAAAGCTCGTCTCTGGATGTTCAGAGATATGTGCTTTGGCAAATAGCAAAATGAGTGTAGTTGTAAAAAATTGGGAACGAATTGTAGGATTTTTTATTTTTATTTTTTTTGTCTCACATTTGATGAATGGCTATATTCTTCTTTATTTTGTCATCTGAATATCAACATCTGTCAAATTTAGATTAAACAGTTTTGAGGTTAAGTAATGTAATTAATCTTTGGAAAATAGTGATCTATGACATTATATTATGTTGAAGGGAGGAATTTGTGGACACATGTTTTTATTTTAAAGTGAAAAGATAAAATTAGACCCTTGGGCTAAGATGCTCCACAGGCTTGGCACAGAAATATAATTATTTAATTTAATATTTATTGTAATTCATTATTCAGTAATTTAATTCAGACGTACATTTCAGACTTCTTCACGATTCATTAAAACCTACAGGCTAACTGAGTGAAATCTTTCAGAGTTCATTCATAGTGTTGCTATTTTGACATGGGGGATTCTGCTTTGTCTGCCATTGGTTATTCAAATATTCAATATATTATTTAGTGTTGGACTATAATGCACATCAAAAGTGTTACAAAATTTACTGGGCTTGGGACCATATTTTTTGTCACATAGGACCTCTCATCACAGAGCCCAAATCTAAATATTTCCCGCCAAATTTTTAAAAATCACCTGATTGTTTTAGTGTTCTTCAAGACCTTACCAGCATTATCTAAATAAACAAATGAGGTTTATTTAAATTTTATTTAACATAATTAACTTTGTCTGTTCTCTCTCTGAAGCCTCTACAGCTTTTCCTAGCATGTAGTCGGTACTTTTCACCAGGAGAGGGCAATAGACTTTATAATAGACTTTGAACTGTTTAGCAAGAGAACCTGCAGACTGAGCTCCAGGGAGTGTTGGTCAATAGCTAGTCTCTCTCTCAGGACAGTCATTATCCCAATAAACACATAACAGAAGTGGAGCTGACAGCCAGACAACAATACAGCAGTTAAGATTTGAGACTGTGTTGTGTAGTACGGAGAGGATACTCTCACTTAAAGGGGTCCTATTAGGCTCTTTTACAAAATCTTGATTTTGTTTTGGGGGTGTACTAGAACAGGCTCTCATACTAGGTTGTTCGAAAAACACATTATTTTTCACATATTTTACATTATTACAACACATCTCTCCCCAGTCAGGCATTAACGACTCGAATAGTTCCTGTATCAAATGAAGGTCCGCCTTCTGAAATACGAAATACACTCCAAGTTCGTCTGCCTTGGGTAAGCTAGCGTGTCTCCAACATAGTGTTAACACTCGATGCCTTCTCTAGTGCAGCTCAACCAGGTCTCGTCCCATTCGTCGATATTTGTGATATCACAAATCCCGGAAAATATGCGTTGTAATCCAAACGAGTCGTTCGTTGTAGTTTTTGAAAAGTGATTTCTGTTAAATAAAATATCTCCTTTTGAAGTGGACTTTGAGCGTTGTAACTTTGCAGATCTTTTTTATGCTCAAACAGCAACATTACAGACTAACTAAAGTTGAAAAAGTGAAAAAGCATAATAGGACCCTTTTAAGCGAGAGCTGGCACAATATGTCACCCCACAGGACTGCCAAAAAAACTATTATTGCTGCTTTCCCAATTGAGATGCATGTCTAAACAGGCTTCCTCCTAATTTTAAAATTGCTTGGCCTTGTATTCGCATATGTACTCAGGACTATGTAGTCTGTGAATAATCTGTGCTGCTGAATCATTTTCTAAAATAGATGTAGATTAACAATTAAGATCTAGCGAGATGATCACTTGCAAAGTACAATTCAAGATGTTATTTGCATGCTGATTTCTATTCTGTTCTTTTTTTGTGAAGCACTTTCCATTTTTAGAGCACTTTTTTTTTCGACATAAGCAGGCACAGAATAAATGTCGATTCAGATAAAGCAGCTTGCAAAGTCTCCTCTAGCTGTGACTGATGATTTTGCCTCACTAACACCCGTGTATCGTATGAAGCACTTTCTGTTTAGGGAGTGTTGTCACTGGTCTCCCTCAAGGAGAAATTACTGTGGCAATGCTAATAAGCATTTATGCTCCCTTGAGGAAATTAAGAAGAGAGAAGACAAGCACTCTCTCCTAGACAGAGTCGTAATCACAATGCCCATGGTGCTCATTAAGGGTAGCATGCCACTCAAATTATTTGAGTGACTTGATTTTCACCATTATTACCGCTTAAAACTACCAGGGGATGCAAAATATTGTTTATGAGAATATTGAATATAGTTTATGCTTTTTTTCCTCTTGATTTGGCAAAAGCAAATCCAAAATCAATCATCGAACTTAATTTTTTTTACAGTGTTTTCCAGTTCTTTAAATTATAATTTTTTTACTTTTATGCTCACAGATTCAATAATTTTTCTCACATTGTATATTATTGCTCACATTATATATGATATATCATATCACATATATCATATCATAGCATATCATATCATATCATATCAACCCTCTACATTGCGAGTAAATCACTCGCATATGCGACTAAACCTTCACTCTGGGCGACTAAATGATGTCTAATATTAGCCAATTGCTAATAAATTCTCAGATTTTACTCGCCAGTGTGTGAGTTGGAGACTAAGTATAAGTTTAGCTCAGATATATTTTCACTCGCCGAACACTCTCTGACTGAGCGCATCAGAGTTTAACTCTCCAGGCGATCTGTGCTGTTTTTCAGTTCATCTGAATGGATGTGCAACGCACCTGTATTTAACGTACCGTAAACTCTAGTGTGAAGGCGCACGTCTCGCCGTAGCTTTGTTCCACACACACGCAGCTAGAGAGGGAGAGAGAGAATTGACGCGCTACCTATAAACGATATATATATATATATATGTATATATATTTATCAGTCTGGCGAGTAAACTAAAAAAATTACTAGCCAATGGCGATTCAATTGCCAAGGTGTTCGTAGAGGGCTGCATATATATATGATATTATGCCCTTATACTGAAATCCATAAGTGGCTTGAGAAAAAAAAATACATATATGCAGACAGACAGACAGACAGACAGGAATCAAATTACATTGAACTTTCAGTCATTCAGCCAATCAGGTGTTTTAGGACACATGCAGATGGCTGTACGTGCATGGCGGAGGTTATATTTTCAGAAGATTAACCCTTGACATGAACGGACCCTTTCAAGCAAACCCATTTGCAGATAAAGTAAACTATAAAGCCCTTGCACAGGTACAAAGTGACAGGGCTGCGAGCTCTGAATGATTCACTTTCTCAGAGGGCCAAAGAAATGTTCAGAGTGAATAAAACCCTGCTGAATTACTTTGGTCTAACATGGAGTTATTGATCGCGGCCAAGGGCAGTATAGAGCCGGGCCGGAACCTGGCTCTCTGTCTGAATTAGAGCTCTGTTGGCACAGCACAGGTCTGATGTACTCACACTGTGCAAATGTAGAGGGAAGAACTCAGATTTGCAGCGGCTGTACTGCAGTTTGCTATGGGGACTGCTAAGAGCATTTTCCATCATCATCATGCCTTCTATAGCACATTGGGAGGTCAGTACATGTTCAGTGCTATTTATAGTTATGCAATTAGCGTGACAGTATGTGGTAAGTTATACCAGCATGTAATGTAGCCTAAAAGCATGCAGCAATAATGTTAAGTTTAATTATCAGCATGCTACCTTCAAATTATAGATGCTGCATATACAGTTATACTAAAATGATGTGTTATTATGTGCACAGACACAGACACACAATCAAAATATGCAAGAGAGTCATAGGAAGTCCCAGTCTCAAAGTGAATTTGATGTCAGTAGCTGCTTTGAAAATGAGAGATATGGTGGAGAAAGGGAGGGAGATAAAGAAAGAGAGAGTGAGAAAAGGATGACTCACTCTTTGAGAGAGCCTCCTGTATCTTCAGGCAAGCTGTTAGGTGCATAAATAAAAGATGATATGGTGTCCCATTGTTGGTTTTGTGATGTCAGGATGAGGCTTCTCCCTTCCTCTTCCTCTCTATTTATCTCCCTCAGTGTCAGGTATATGCCTCCTTTTTTAAGTTAGGGAAAGTTGAGGCATTGATATGTGTAGTCATTTATAGAGTGCAAAGTTTTGACACATTGGGTGTCTGAATTTCTAAAGCTGTTGGTATGATGATGTGCTATCATTGATGTTTTCATTGTGTCTGATGATGTCGGTTGAGTAAGTTGATCTGTGTTAACTTAACAAGGTCTGTTGCAAAACAATTTTAGTTGATGCTAAGTAATTTCATCTAAGTTTTGATGCATTCATCACAAGAAAAATTTAATGTATAGTAGGAGAGGGGATAAGACACACACACACACACACACACACACACACACCCACGTTTCCATGTTTTATGGAGACATTCCATAGATGTAATGGTTTTTATGCTGTACAAAAAAAAAAAAGCTGTTCTGTAATTTATAAGCTTGTTTCCTCATAGGGTCCACAAAATGTCCACACAAGTTCCAAATTGAATGGTATTACTATACTTGACTCGAGGGGACATTTGGTCCCCGTAAAGTAGGGAAGAACCTCTCTCTCTCGCTCTCTCTGTCTCACACACACACAAACAAGATTAAATTATTTTTTTCATGTTTTTAAAGAACTCTCTTATTAAGTATTAATTCATATCAATTATTAACAACAGTTCTGTCATGACAACTCTCGGAGGGATTGGCATGTTAATGTACATGACAATGTTAATGTATTTGGTCTTGGCGGAATAGATCTGCTACGCTGCTGCAGAGCAAGTACCACTTGCTACTGCCAATACATCCACAACATGCTGCTGTGAGCATGTAATAAATATTGCTGCTGCAAATATAACATACCTAAACTAACCCTCATATAGCATACATGAATCAACTCGTAGCACATCTCTACAGGTGGAGCTGGGGAAGGTGGAGGGTTTCTGAAGCAAGCTGCAACGGCAAGTACTAGTCATATATTTGAATGTTCAGCAGCAAGCTCATTGGCTACCGATACAGGAGAGAACCAATAAGCTGTGCCATGTGATGCTGTCATTAGGTCAGATTGAGTTAGACCTATTGGACTGCGGCATCTAGAGTTTCATGCTAGAACTCTGTATTTCTGTCATGACAACTCTCGGAGGGATTGGCATGGTAATGTACATGACAATGTTAATGTATTTGGTCTTGGCGGAATAGATCTGCTACGCTGCTGCTGCGGCAGAGCAAGTACCGAGACTTGATACTGCCAATACATCCACAACATGCTGCTGTGAGCATGTAAGAAATGTTGCTGCTACAAATATAACATGCATGAAATAACCCACCACAAAGCAGGAGACATAAAAGGGACAATACAAGCCAAAACAAGAACAAAACCCCCCCCAACAAGCAGATCTATCGCCAAGACTGCTGCTGCTCTGAAGAGCCATGTGAACCGCATGTATTACTATCTATGTGTGCTTGGGCTACCACGCCGACCAGCTTAACGCTAGTGGCCAATGACTATGTGAGCCTTGGCTACCACGCCGACCGGCTTAACACTAATGGCCTATGACTATGTGAGCCTTGGCTACCACGCCGATAGGCTTAACGCTAGTGGCCTATGACTATGTGAGCCTTGGCTACCACGCCGACCGGCTTAAAACTAGTGGCCTATGACTATGTGAGCCTGGGCTACCACGCCGACCGGCTTAACAATAGTGGCCTATGGCTATGTGAGCCTGGGCTACCACGCTGACCGAACAATAGTGGGCTATCACTATGTGAGCCTGGACTACCACGCCGACTGGCTTAACTCTAATTAGACGTGCACTATGTGTAATGTTTAATTAACAAAATGGATATAAGTTGCAATCCGATAGATAAGACCCCAGCACCCACCTGAGCAAATTTCATAATTTAGTCATTTGATAACGGCTGTTACTTTCTCAATTTCATCAGTCCCAGCGGCAGCGTAACAGCTTGTTAATTCATGTTCGTGCAATGATGAGA